GATTTAGGATAATTGTAAGAGTAATAATCTTTTTTTTATATACAAATTTAGATTTAGTTAATAGGTAATTTTTTTTTCTATAACTATATTTTAGTTTATACTACATAAAAGTTCAAATGGAAATTTAAGATTCTGTTTGTAATGGATATGACTGGAATAAATAAATCAAAGAAGAACAAGTTTGGAAATGGTTGTGGTGCTGACAGATTTTTGTATATATACAGAGAAGATATGCTTTGCTATTTTGGCTTATTACAAATATTTATTTATATTCATATACAAAAGATGTTTTAAAATAATAAAATCTCTGACAAAACAAAGATCTCCGGACTTGTCTTCCATCGTTATGGCTGCTGCTTCCGGCGAAATCTCTCCGGTAATTTGACCTTTTTACCCCCAAATTCTTTAAGAAACAAATCGGAATTAATATTCACGCACAAATCGCTTAGGGAAGTAAATAAAAGGGAATAGAGTGGGATTATTCGTGCAAACTTGGCTTGTTAAATTTGGAATTCTCGTGTTATATATATATTTGGTTGGTTTCCTTGTAACAATCGATATTTGTGTTGTAGATGGAGGAAGAAGCCACACTCCTCGTAACATTAAAAGACATGTGGTTTCGCATACTTGAATTTATCGTCAAGTGAGTGTCTCTCTCTCTCCGTTGATTCATCATTATTTTTTCAATCATGTTTAGACTTTAGAAGCAAGCAACCGAGCTTGGTTTGAGTCCTATTAATTTCGAGTAAATGGCAGGATGACCTCCGGAGTTGTCTACTCCATAGTGATGCATTCGATCATCATCACCGCATACGTGTTGCTGTTTTTCCAGATTTTCTACACAAACGAGATTGATCTCGACCTGATTCATCAAGTGTGTGGTCTTTGTTTGTTTTACATTATCTTCATGGGACTAGAAGTTGCAGCGAGATGCTTTTGTGAGGAACCGATGGCTTTCACTATAGCCGCGAAAGGCGGTCATTGGTGTGGAACGCTCACTGTCACCACCTCCATTTTTGCGTTCAATCCTAACGCGTCTACTCTCTTATTTTTCCTTGGGGTATCGCTTAGGTGCTGGTTTTTCTTCCTTCTAGTTGCATCTATGTTTATTTCTCCTTGGGAAGATCGATCCTTAACCACACCACTGGTTTAGTGGCATCTGTTTAAATGTAATCATCCATCTCTAGGGATCCTTTGCTCTTTATAAATTACTAATAAACTATAATGATTGAGGTTTCGTGCATATGATTTGGTTGGACTTTTGGTCCAAACACAGATT